GTCCCTTTCCTTCAATAGGTACTGTGGGTGTCAAATTCTCCAAGTCCTTTTATCTGATATATATATATATATATATATATATATATATATATATATATATATAATGTAAAATGCATATAAATATAAATATATATAAACATATGCAATTTTTATATGCATTATTTATATATTATATATGCGCAGTACTTATTGGAAAGCGCTCAATATCAGCGATAGAGCTAACATATTTAGTTAGATTAATGTGAGTTTGTAAACCTGGGATTCACGCTATTTGCAATCGTCAGACAAAATTTGTCTGACGATCGCAAATAGCGTGAAACCCAGGTTCACAAACTCACATCAATCCACCTTATATATATATATATATATATATTGAAAAGTTCTCAGACCTAAAAGAGACCATTTTCCATCGGGCGTTTGGTTATTTGGGGATATGAGTGGGCCGAGAATTTTTCAGCATCAAACGTGTATACACACACCCACACACATTTATTGTTATTATTGTCAAGGGTTTTGTGTTAGGTATTAGTTGTAATATAGTTTATCGAATTGATTTTCCCAAGTGATCTTGAAATTACAACTGTCTTTTTTATTCTAAGCAAGCGTCCTTTTCGAGTTTATTTTCCTTAAATATTTTCTTGTTTTTCGAATGTCTATGGTATTCTCGTCATTATTCTGGAATATTTTTTTTATTGTCTCCTCTTAATCTGTGAGGTTGGATCGTGGATTTTGCTTTGAGGCATATCAACACGTCCATGGGTTATTTAATGCTGAAATCTAAATATTTTGTACGTAATTTTAGGCCTTCGACTACCGATATTTTGTATATAATTTTATAGTTTCAGAGTAAAGATATGCTTTTCAGATCTATAGTTTGTAAATGATAAAATGTATTGTCGGTAATTGTCTTTTTTAAATACATTGTTGGTAATTTCACTACAAAAATTTATTGCTGGTCATTTTACTATAAAAATGTATTGGTAATTTTATTATGAAAAGGTATTGTTGGTAATTTTATTATGAAAAGGTATTGTTGGTAATTTTATTATGAAAAGGTAATGTTGATAATTTTCTTATGAAAAGGTATTGTTCGTAATTTTATTATGAAAATGTACTGTTGATTCTTGTTTGGTGGTTCACTATTTGATGGGACTCTAATAAGTGCTACCACAAAGGTTGGAATGGACCTGCGTAAAACAGCAGTTAAGAAGTGGCTCCACGCTCCTCAAAATCTCTAATGTTCCAAACAAAGGCCTTGCTGTCGAGTGCAGTTTATCGTCATACCCAGGACGGTAATTTGTGAAGAAATTCTTCAGCATTCACTGCGATATAGAAGGACCGATAATACATCAATGCTCTTGTTTTTGTTTCTAACGAAGTTTTCGTTTTTATTAATATTTTGCTTAGATTTTGGAAAGTTTCTGATATTTCAATACGCGTTTGGATTTGGATGCCATATTTTACATACTTTGTTTAAACACTTGCGAGTTATTTAAATTTATGTACATGTTTGATTTTGTCATCTTTTATTCGGGGTTCATTTGTTGAATTGTGCCTGTGTTGACAACCATTCTGTATTCTTACAATTGATGTTTTGTCTTTTCTTCAGTGTTTTGACATATAAGAGTACCGTGTAAAGTAAAAGTTTATTTAATATCAGGCTAGCGTCTTATTGACTTATCTTTGTCCTTTGTGTATATTTACTAAGGAAAATGTAATTCCAGAAACCTAAAGGTCTATTTTAACCGATTTTGCTTTGGTTATGAGCCTAGTGTAATAGTTATCGGCGCTCAAAGTGTGATTGGTACGTCAATTTCAATGTCCTGCCGAAACCGTTGGATTCGCTTTCGCAAGCTTCGAAAGCTATGTATCCAGCTTTTCTCTCCTCGAACTAGGGAATAATAGTAATGTACACTTGGCTGTCAAGCTTTGTTAGGCAACCACATTAGGTGAAGAATAACTCTGAATTCAATAGCTATCGTGTGTAGGGCAACAGCAGCATAACTTGACGTGGTGAGACGGCGACAGTTTTACAGGAAAGCCTACAAGGTTGATATGGATACATATACTATGTGCCTGTCGCTGGGTCTTAGATATTCTGATAAAATATATTAAAATTTTCGACCATCTCATGTCGTAGTGAAACTGATAACATAGTATGTAATAATGAAGTGCTTACTGATCCCGTTTCAATGTAACTATAATAAGATGGAGTAAAACTAGCAATAAGACTAATATTAAAAAAGTTTATCGTGAGATAATCTATAGATGATCATAGATAATATGATAAAAATCGATAATAAAGCGAAATATATTTTAATCATTTCGCCCCATTGTCATGGGTCCTAACACTATGTATACTACGCCTCTCAAGAGAGAGGGACGAATCGAGTCGAGCCGATAGTAGCTCATCCCAAACCAGACTGACAGTCATACTAACAGCTTCCACATCTTGTATTATTGTTTCGTGTAATATACCTTCGTTATTTCTACTCTTGTGTTCGTGTTGTTCTTCCTTGGTCCTAACCTGGACCATAACACCCATGCAAGCTAGTAAAGCCACAGGAGGTTATTGAGTGTTAAAGAATAAAAAAATAGAGGAGCGAGAACAATAGAAGAGTAATCAGCAAGAAAGTATATAAGAATTGATATTGCTTTTAATTTTGTGAATATCAAAGTTAATTGGTGTTTTAGCAAACCTACGCACGATAATGGATATGGCCCCATTCACATAAATACAGTAGTAAATACTGTATGTTGATCGGAAGTCGGTGATTAGTCTCCAGCTGTGCTGCTCAAACTCTCTGCCTCCGGAAAGAGAGGATCCACAGACGAGGCTATGTCGAAGGGCAGAGTTCCGTCTCGGGAAACAGCTACCTAACCCCGTTTTATACGGAGTCTAGGGAGAAATGTTTGGCCGAACCTACGGGCTCAGATAGCCCACATTAAATTAGGCCTTGTGCCACATATGACTGCGTGGAGTGGTTGATAATATTATACAGTTGGAGATTCGTCTCTAGCTGTGCTGGTCAAACTCTGCCTCCGAGCAGAGAGGATCCCCAGATGACGCTATGTTGTAGGGCACAGTCTTTTTTGCCAGAGCCTACGGGCTCGGATACCCCACATTAAATTCGGCCTTGTGTCACATCTGACCGTGTGGGGCGGTTGGTAGATATCCTGTAGTTAGAGATTCATTGTGGAATTCACTTGACTGACTTCTATCAGTTACTACTTCTATGCGCCGTTGGCGAATCTTATATGTGTTGTTCTTTTCCTAAGTATTATCGTCCATTACTAACCTTCGTTTGATTATTCTATTCAGTAACCTTCCCTAGGTTACAACAGTTGGAAAACACGCAGCTGAAAGAGAGTTCTACAAGAGAGTTTTTTCCAAGAAAATACACTGTTACCATAGAACTTACGATTGCATCAAACCATTTCAACTGTAAATTGATGTGGCCCTGTTGCCAATCTATTACTTAAAGTCTCGGTACCATGGCGTAAAGTACTTCAGAAAAGTTACCATGTAAACTATTTATAGGAAAAGCACTGAAGAAAAGCACATGGAAGCTATATTACGGCGGTGAAAACGTAACTGAAACCGAGAAACTAGGCCAGGACTAATAATATTGCTGATTCTTCTTTGGCTTTTATCAAGAATCTCTAAATATATTTCTTAATATTTTTGGTTAGATTTGCAGGGCATCTTTCTTTGTTCCAACGCGCATTCGGTTTTCGGTGTCACATTTTCTGTTCACTCTTACACCACATTTTTGATATTTAAATTTTTGTACTCGTTTCATCTTGGTGTCTCCAATTAGGAGGTCGTCCCTTGGGCTATTCCTTCTGCTGACAACCATACATTCAGTCTTGTTACAATTGATGTTTAGTCCTTTCTTCTCGCTTTCCATTACTACCTAATGTAGGCGATCTACTTGTTTAATTTCCACTTCTGCAATCAACAGTGTTTCATCTGCTTATTTTATGTTATTAAGATTGTGGTCGCCAATAATAAATACTGGTAGAACTGTTTTTTGGGTGTTTTTTTTCTTCTGTTAATTCACCCACAAATAATGTAAAGTTACTTATCGCAAATATTAATTCACCCCAAGAAATTATAATTTTAACTCAAAGTTTGTTTGTCCTTTTATTCAATTGTTGGTACTCTTTTGAAATTATAAATTTTTGGTACCCTTTTGAAATTAGAAATTTTTGGTATGTTTGAAATTATAAACTTTTGGTACTCTTTTGAAATTATAAATTTTTGGCTCTCTTTTGAAATTAGAAATTTTTGGTACCCTTTTGACATTATAAATTTTTGGCACGCTTTTGAAATTCTAAATTCTTGGCTCTCTTTTGAGATTATAAATTTTTGGCTCTCTTTTGAAATTATAAACTTTTAGTACTCTTTTGACATTATAAATTTTTGTCACGCTTTTGAGATTATAAATTTTAAATCAAAGTTTGTTTTATATTTCGTGAAATAAAAGAATGTTTCATGTACTATGTGCCAGATAGAATAGCCTCCATATTATTGGACACAATCCGAAGCTGTATTTTACCTGGGGCTACGATTATGTCAAATTGTTGGAAAGGATGTACAACTTTAAAAGATGATCCCAATTATATTAATCTCACTATAAAGCACAGTATGAATTTTCTTTGACCCATAAACGTCAACTCACACACAAATAATCCAAAGCCCCTGGCGGAACGCCAAAATGAGACCCGAACATGGATTTATTATTCTTCATTTGAAGAATAATAAATCCATGTTCGGGTCTCATCGCAGCATGATAGACTCTTATTTGTGAGAGTTCCTTTGAAGACGTAAGCCAAAAAAATAACAATGAATGCATTTTTAACTAATTTTAAAGGACATTTCTGAATTTTGGTGTGAATTTTAGTTAATATTAATTATTTTTAATTTGGAGTAAATTAACAGAAAAGATCCGAACTTTTAATTCTCACAGAATCGCCTCATTCAAAAGTTTGGTGCTTACGACTACATCACATTGAAAGACCGATTTCTGTGCGATCACCGAAGTTAAACAACATCACGCCTGGTCAGTACCTGGATGGGTGATAGTTTGGAAACACCAGGTGCTGTAAGCCTGGATGTGTGGCTGGTGTATTGGATAATGGATCGGAATTATGACTCGGATAGCCGAGTTCCAATCCTAGTTGGATTCTTTATATTTATTTACACGAAAACACCATTGGGAAAGGTATGAATCTACCTCTTCTCCTCCTAGCTATGGGTTAATTAGTAAGATTTATATTACTAAAACTATTAGTACCCAAAAAATAAAAATAAAATTGCATGCACAATATTTAAATTTCAGCATTATATAACACATGGATGTTGATGTGTCGTTAAACAACACAAATAATCAACAATCAATCTAAAAGTTGAATATGCCCGGTGAGAAGACATATCCTCGTTTTACGCCCGTTTCTTTATTTGTGTATTTACTTCATTCATTTGCTATCTGTATGCAGGCGGTTTGCTTCCAGTATAAGCTTTGAATTATTTTAATATCCTTCACAGATAAATCAAGCTCACCTAGCAGTTCAAATATTTCTTTGCGACGTACTTTTTCAAATGTTACTTTGCATCATCTATAAAACATCATTGGGATTATTTTGTCACAAAATGTGGAGTATTTTATTTAGGTCTCTTTCATCGATGTCAACGGTCGAAGACGGAAAAGCTTCATTTACAGTTCAGCACCCGCGTTCAGTTCGCATTAAAATTCCAGAATATTTACATTTATGTGTAATTGCACATGCTTCATTCGAATCTGGCTTGATAAATTTGATAAAAATCTACCGTTTTGGAGTTATCGACAGTAAGAATTCTGATTCATTCGAGTCGTGGGCAGCCATTATTGGCGTTGTTTGCATACATTCGCTGCAGAATAACTATCAGTGTAGTTATCATTGCGCAAACTGAGCGTGTTTACGTAAATAATTGAGACAAATTTAAACAAGAAAGATTCTGCAGTGATCCGCATTTAGCTTTCCGCAGAAAATGTATGCAAGCAACTCCAATAACACAGTGCCTCTCATAGATTAAGTAACCAATGCATAATCGGCATTGACAACGACCACGGTATTAGAATACTGTGAAGTCATCCACCGTGGGACATTTGCGTCTTTGTCTGGTCTCTACGGCGCGCTGGACTCTATTTTCTTCATAGATCTTTCCTCCCGCGTAAACAGCAGCTCTCCACTCGACTCGATCCCAGGCAACTGCATCCCAATTCGCAACATTGATAGAAAATTCCATTATGGACGCTTTACACTGGTCCTTGGACCAAAGCTTCGGTCGTCCGACGTAACGCATGTCCTCAGACAGTTCCCCATACAGCATCTGTATGGAAATTCTGGAGTTATCCATGTGTGCAAAGCCACCGAGATTGCATGATGGGATTTAATAACTGAATGCCAGCTCTTTTGAGCACTTTTGTATCCAGGACCCTATCTTGATATTTAATTTTTAGAATATGTTTTGTGAAAACTATTTAGTATCCTCTCTTGACTAGCATACACTTATATTGAGTTGGTGCACAATTATCAGGCGTTTTTGTAGACGTGTTATTTGTTAATAAAAATTGTTCTTTAGTTTACTTTTTTTTAATAAAAATACTATTTTATTTTCATGTTATAAAAATGCGTGTCGATAATCATACGCTCCGGAATAAGCATTGAAAAATTTTATTGTTGAATTGTTAATTTTTTTTTCACAATAAATATTGTTTAAAAAACGCCTGATAATTATTCACCAACCCAATATATAGTTGACTTTTTTTCTTTCGCCAGAAATATCTCAATACCTTTGACGATTCATTTGTTATCAATTGTGCGCTACGCTGTGTATTTTGTTGTATTTGCAGTTAATTGTCTTCTTTGTTTTAAGCAGAAAAACGTTTTCGCTAAAGTAAAATCATTTGTTTTTCGTTGCACTTGGATTCAAGAAGATGCACAAAAAAGTAAAAATTCTATTTCAAATAAGGAACATGATAACAAAAATTAGCAGCCGTTGCACAAAAAGCAGACAGCCAAAGACACCAACTGAGCAAACAGTCATTGCCACGTGGAATTGTAGAGGGGCATTCAGTTCTGATAACGTCTCCTGCGGACTGCGCAAGGTTTCCAACACACCATGACTTCAAAAAATGTTAAAAGCAGCTTCTGTCTCTTAAGTGAAAACAAAGTGGGACGCGTGTTACATTTACAATGAAACCTCAAAACACCTAAGAAACAAAATAGATTATAATTGCGCCCAAATTTAGTTTAATATTCTGCCAGCGCATTTTCTTATACATAATATATATCACTTTAAACGTTATTATAGTAGATACTCGTACTTGAAGTAGACGTGCAATTTTTATTCTTGTTTGCAACAGTGTGTATTACGTGTATCGGCCTGTGAAATCGAGAAATCTTCAGAAAGAAGATGTGCCCGCCGGTAGGGATAATAGAGTCTTGCTGAACTGTGATGTTCTATGTAGCCGAATGGTGAAGCACACCGGATCAAACGTTATTTTCTCTTAGGAAGAGGGATGCAGATTCCATTCCTGCTGGGCGGGGCGCGGGGGTGCACACTCATTTTCCTTATTAAGATTTCTTGCACAGTTCGTTAAAGGTAATACACACTGTTTAAAATAAAAAAAAATATAATGAAGCGTCTGTTTCAAATGTGAGTATGGATTAATAATAACGTTTGAAGTAATAAAAATATCGGATTAAAAATAAAACCATTAATTCTTTAGAAATTACTTTATAAACCTACACATATGCACACGCACACACATACACGACATCCTACACTTCGTTTGTTGGATACAAGTTCTATTGCACAACATTTAAAAACACATCGCTGTCCACCTTCACAATACAGAAAAATACTTGTTGACAACACAAATATACGACACCATGAAAATAATATGCATAAACATCAAATTCTCTAGGCTCTCTATATTGAAATCAATATCCAACAAAATTTATTACGAATATAGCAAAAACATATTAAGGTGCATATAACATTTAATACCATTTTACATTTCTACAAATTTCCGTTTATCTCCCTTATATTGAAACGATTGTTTTGTAAAGAAATTACATAACTACAACGGATAAATTTTAAATTATAAAATAGCAGTGAGGGTTTGCGCGTGCTTTTAAAAATCCCCATCACAACGGAATGCAGATATTATCGCAGTTGCAATAAGTTTGTCTTTGTAATTTACCACTGAAGATGTTCTTGGAAAAAGATCGAAACTACTTCGGCTAAAAAATACGATGGCTTCTTCCGTGATGAATTTCATCTTAATATCAAGAAACTGATTAGACAACTGGAAAGGTTCAGGTTAAAAATAAGTAGACACAAAATGCTTATATTATTCAATGAAACTCGTTTGATTAAATTTATACTGCATATATATATATATATATATATATATATATATATATATATATATATATATTTGATTAATATATTTGAATTTTGATGTACAATTTGTGTTGTATAACGTTCGTGTTTTTGTGAGTAACACAGAAGAATTGAGTTAAACGCATTGACAAGGGAGTTGCTAATGCTTAAAAATTAAATATATTATGAAAATAATTATTTTTTTCTTCATCAAACTTGTGTCTTATTGACCTGTATCTTCTTATTCCATTTTTTAAAATAATTTCACCCCAAGTAAATCAATAAAACCACTAAGCGAAAGGAGTTTACTGAATATTGCATAATATGAGGAAGAAAAGATTATTAAGGAGCGAGCACAATAAAAGAACGGGAATTCAGAAGACCGAAAATAACAATTGACATTAAATTTAAATTGTTGAAGATCAAAGTTGATTGGAAAGCAAGAAGCCGGAAGTATACCACAAGCGAGAGAAATAAAATGTTAGCATAAAACGAAAATGATTAGAATTTACCGCCAATCTAGTAGTGTGCTTAACTTCATAAAGTCTACGTAGTAAGTTCATCAGAATAATTACCATGAAAGTATAGAAAAGGCAGAGAGAAGCTAGGTTACCGCGGTGGGAAAATGATTGAAACCGAGATGCTAGGTCAGGACCAAAACATTGCAGATTCTTCTTCGGATTTTATCAAGAATCTCTAAATATATAACACGACCAATAGACCGGATGCATGCGAGAACAATATTCAAAGCAAGGACGAATGGCGGACTTATAAATATATAAGATAGATTCTGGCAAGAAGAAAATGTTTAGCACGACAAAAGAAGCCAACTTTCCTTGCAGCAAACTTAAAAATTGATTCAATATAATCTTTCATATCAGCGGAAAACATTAGTCCGGGAAAAGCGAAATGAGTTACTTACCTGAAGGTTAGCATCAACCATGTCAAGGCAAAAAGGGTTCTCTCAAACGAGAAGACAGTAGTTTTGTGTTGGAGGCGTTAAAATTAACAAGACATTTCTTGCCCCATTTAACAACAGATTGTAGGTCATTTTGAAGATCAGCAGCCAATTTGATCTTATCGAACCGATGAGACTTACTATTAAGACAGGAGTAAATAGTTTTGTCATCAGCTTAGATGAGTTGAGAACTGATGACATCAGGAAGGTCGTTGATGAAAACTAGGAATAACGTAGGTGAGAGCATTGAGCCCTGTGGTCACCTGCATTAACACAAAACGATATAGAAGAGTAGCAATTCAAGACAATTTTTATTCCGTGATTTGATAAGAAAGACTGAATCAGTTCAAACATTCGTTCAGCAATACAATAACCTTCCAACTTATGAAGACTACTATGCCAAGCCCTGTCAAATACCTTCGAGATATCGAAAGCAACACTCCAAGCTTCGCATAGAGAAGCGAAAGCCATATTGCTTATCTGAAAGAAGGCCCTGTGAGATTAGTTGATTAACCAATTCAGAGTTAATTAAAGCTTCTAACACAAGCCAAAAAGAGCTAGAAGCCTAATAGGCCGGTAGTTAGAAGGATCAAATAATATGCCTGAGTTCTTAAAGGCTGGAACTGCAGAAAAGGATTTCCAACAAGCAGGATAGCAAGAAGCATCGTGGCATTTATTAAGTTTGAAGAGAACGCATTTAAGAATTTAGAGAGAACTGG